CAAATTTTCACTTTTTATATATCATTAGATATTTCCTGTTTTTTGGGTATTACAATAACAAATATGAAATAAATTTATACACATCCAAAATGTTATAAGCTTTTAACACTATAAGGTAAAAAACCTACCTTATTTCCCTTATTTGCCCTCTTTATGTTATTACTTTATTCGTTATTATTCTTTCTCTCATTATCCTCTATCTCTATCATTCTTTTTTAGTCATCTCCTTAAATCTTTATCTATAAAAATATATCTATTTTTTTACACTATTTTTTCCCTCTTGACACTTTTTCACTTGCTTATACTTAACCTTTTATTAATTTTCTTGGGATTTCATCTCATAGCCTATTCTCTCACATTTTATCATTCTATCTATCTACTCTATATTCAGCCTCATTTTCTCTCCATATTTAATAAATTTTTTGTTATTATTCTTTCTCCTTTTGTCTTTATTTTCTCAATATTATTATGTCTTAGTCACTACTTACATTTGCTTTATTTAATATTATATATCATTTTTACCCCAATGTTCTCTCCCTCCCTCTCTGTCTCTTTCTCTTTCTCTTATCGTGTGTACATTAAAATTGTTTAAAATTTTGCTTAATGAGTATATTGAAAGTTTGTAAGAGCTTTTACTTCACCATTTTTATAAAATTTTTAATAATTTTTGATAGTTTAGATTTTTAATAAAGAAAATATCAAAATATTTTTAGATTCCTTGCAGAGATTCTTTCTTTATTTTTCAGTTCCTTATAAGTGCTCTAATTTCTAGCTTACACTAATGTGGTTTGTTTAGAACCCATTTTGTACCTTTCAAATTGGTTTTTCAAGTTGCTATAGTAATTTGGACAAAATTGTTAACTACAATACTAAACGACTTAATTTAAAACTTACAAAAGCCCTTAAACAATTCAACACACTAGTAATATTGTCTGCTTTGACCCATTACACCTCATGATTTTGAAATGTCTCAATGTAGGTTAATGGGTATTGATTTATACCTTGCATCTTTCTTATACTTTATTGATGTAAGATTTACCTAATGATAATATAATTTGTTTAGTTAGTAGTGGTGGCTATTCCTTGATCAAATTATAGAAATAAACTAAAATTAAAAAAGTTCCATACAAGGCTGGTAACAACTAAGACTATATTTAAATTTTTTTTTTCACATAGGTAAAGAATTAATGAATTCATTTTCTTTAATAGAAAAGAAGGAATTTGTGTTGTCATTCATACCTTAGTTTATTAGAAATTTGTTAACATTAGAGACTACTTAATTATTCTTAACTTCTTTAAAACCTTTCTCAAATTTACGTTACTTTTACAGTACACTATTACTAAGACACCAACCAGGCATAGCCCTAATTGTATGCTAACATTTTTCTCCTCCGTATATAATTATTTGGTTAAATATTAATTTTGGTCTCTCAACTTTTAGATTTTGTACAAATTTCATTCTTAAACTTTTTTATGCATTTTTTTTTTGTCCTTTAACTATGAAAATGTATTTTTTTTAGTTTTTTCGTTAGTTATTCCATTAAATCTATCTAAATTTGCACATTTTTAGTCCTCTACTTCTAATATATGCACATTTTTATCCCTCAACTTAAAGTTGAGTTGAGAGATTAAAAATGTATATATTTATATAAACTTAACAGACTAACCAATAAAAGAACTAAAAAAGTGTATTTTTTATAATTAAAGGACCAAAAGAGTGCATAAAAAAATAGAAGAATGAAAATTATACACAAATGTAAAATTCAGGGATCAAATTTGACATTTAACCTAATTATTTTATGAAATGCAAGTTAAGAATTCTTTATTTTGTCTGCATTAGATTGTACAATAATTATTTTATTTATCAAACTCTACATTCTTTTACATATATTAAAAAAAAAAAAAAAGGAAGACAAAAAATACCTGGTACCCAACTCAGCAGGCTTGAAGAATCATGACCAAAACAACAAAGAAAGCAAGGAGACCTCCGTAGTCATTGCGCAGGCCAGGTAATTAATTTGGTGCGAAAATAACTGATATTAAATGAAGAGGAGAAAAATACACATGTAAGGAAACTAAACTACAAGAAATTAGTTAAAGAAATCTGATCAAACAAAACAGCATATATATTGTAATAAATTGTTAAAAAATTTCTTAGTTTCTCTTTAACTAAACCATCTATTTGTACCAACGACCTGTTGATCTGAGTGGAAGGAATTTGATTCCCTTAAGCATGATTTTGAGTTCGAATCTTGTAAACGAAGACACAAATGCTGGAAGAGCTTCTCCTTAATTGAGTCCAATGTACCTTGATTCCGAATTAACTGAGATCTAATATTGTTATAGAATATCAGAAAGTTAA